TCCTACACACACACACACCGCTCACCCAGCCTCCTTCCTACACACACACACACACCGCTCACCCAGCCTCCTTCCTACACACACACACACACCACTCACCCAGCCTCCTTCCTCCACTCTAGTCTGGGGCAAAACGTCAGACTCCTGCTGAGACTTCCAGCGGAGCCAGGGCTGAGCCCGCAGAGCACCTGGTGCCAGTGCACACCTCCCTTCCTCCTGCAGGTTCGGCTTTCAGGAGTACATCAAGATTGACCAGCCTGAGAAGCAGGGACCGGAGCAGCCAGGTACAGAGTGACAGCTGAGGCTTCCAGGTCAGACTGAGAGGGGCGACCATGGTCTGTTTCCAGCGGAAGTTTGGACCATGCCAGCCCCGCCTCTGAGGAGCTCAAGATCCAAATCCCATGACCTCTCCCTTCATGCCCAAGGGAGTGGAGAGCATGACTCTTGCCTCTTCCGTATCCAGGCCCATGTGGAAAATGACACTATTTTCAGCAGCGTGCTGGGGTCGGCTGGAGGAGAGTGGGAGCCCGGGGGGAGGTTCCTCGGACTGCTGAGGGATCACTGTCCCTGGCGCACCATTTGGGAGGCTCTGGTATAGAGAAGCACTGTCTTCTGGGGCCTTTCTTGGGGGATTAGGGCATGGTTGGAACCATCTGTTGGGTCCCTCAGGTGCTGTGCACCTGCCAAGCCTGTGCACCTGCCGAGCACGTGATGCTGTTTATCTCACTCAGTCTTCACGCACCCCTGGGAGATGCAGTATTATTCCCTTTGTGCAGGTGAAGAAACTGGGGTTAGTTGAAGTTGAGTACCTTGCCCAGGGTCACACGGTAAGTGATAGATTAGAGCCTGGATTCAACCCCAGTCTGGAGCCCCATGGTGCATCACACGTATGATCATCCTCTGTCTTGTATGTCTTGTTTGGAAAGGGTTGGAAACTCCTGACCTGAGGAATGGTTGTTATTAACAGCAGGTCTTGAGGAAAGCCTAGAAGAGGCCCAGTATGGAGAAGTGGCTGAGGAGACCCCTGCCTCCCACGACCAGAATGCCGGGATGCTCGAGGGAAGACGGACGCCTGCCTCCACCCTGGAGCAAGATGTCACCGACTACCACCTCCGAAGCCTGCGGAAACTCCTGGCTCAGCCTCGGGACGGCCTGCCGGCCCCCCTCTCCAAACGGAACTCCACGGCGTCCTTCCCGGGGAGGACCAGCGACATTCCAGCGCGGCAGCCGGAGAAGAGGAAGCAGAAACCCAGCCCTGAGCCCAGCCGAGCTTCGCCTCATTCTGACACGTGGCCTCCTGGGCACCCTGCGAAGAACCCGCCTCCGATTCGGGGGCCCCGGCCCAAGCCCGCTGGTGACGGCCCCAGGAAGACTCTGGAGCAGTCTCAGTGGCTGAACCAGGTGGAGTCTTACATCGCGGAGCAGAGATGGGGTGACAGGATGCAGCCTCCGGCCCCCGGGAGGGGCTGGCACGGGGAGGAGGAAGTGGTGGCAGCCACAGGCCCGGAAGGACAAGTAGAGGGAGAGGAAGAGGGGGAAGAAGAGGAAGAGGAAGAGGATATGAGTGAGGTGTTCGAGTACGTACCTGTGTTTGACCCGGTAGTAAACTGGGACCAGACCTTCAGTGCCCGGAATCTTGACTTCCAAGCCCTGAGGACTGACTGGATCGATCTGAACTGTAACACATCTGGCAACCTGCTGCTTCCGGAGCAGGAAGCTCTTGAGGTCACGCGGGTCTTCTTGAAGAAGCTCAACCAGAGGAGCCGGGGGTAAGGTAAAGGGCTCTCCTGGGGCCAGCTGGCCTGGAAGGCAGGGGCCTAGGGACGGCTAGCGGGTTCCCCCTGCTGCAGAAATAGCTGGAACTTTACCCCCAACTCAGGTTCCTGGGAAGGACAAGTGCCCGGGGCCCTGTCCCTGGAGAGGATCTTGACCAGGGAGGTCTTTGTCCCACCCTTAGGCAAGGGTCTGAAGTCCTGGGTGCCTGGCCCAGGACATGTGTTGAGGACTGGAAGGACTTGGTCGATGAGATCCCCTCCTCCAAGGAAAGAGCTGGTAAATAGACAAACAGGCAAAACAGAGACTAAAAAAATGCAAATTAAGACCCCGCGTGTGGGCCGGAAGGGCTGGGGCATGAGGCCTGACTGGAGTTCTTCCATTCAACCAATCAACATGTTTTACGATAAAATTTATATACCGTTAAAATCACCATTCTAGGGTGTACCTTTCAGTGGTTTTAAAAGTGTGTTTACAGTGTTGTGCAGCCATCACCATTGCCAAATTCCAGAACATTTTCGTCACCTTTGAAAGAAACTAAACAGTGGCTCACGCCTGTAATCCCAGCACTTTGGGAGGCCAAGGCGGGCGGATCACTTGAGGTCAGGAGTTTGAGACCAGCTTGACCAACATAGTGAAACCCCGTCTCTACTAGAAATACAAAAATTAGCCGGGCACGGTGGTGCACACCTGTATCCCCAGCTATGTGGGAGGCTGAGGCAGGAGAATCCCTTGAACCCGGGAGGTGGAGGTTGCAGTGAACTGAGATCGCACCATTGCACTCCAGCCTGGGTGACAGAGCAAGACCCTGTCTCAAAAAAAACAAAAAAAAGAAACCGTATATGTTAGTGGTTACTTCCCATTCCTCCTCTTACCCCCAGTAGTATCTGGCAATAACTACTTTCCTTTCTAGCTCTATGGATTTTCCTATTCTGGACATTTTATACAAATAGAACCATATTATATGTGGCCTTTATATTTGGCTTTTTGTGCTTAGCAGAAAGTTCACTTAGCAAAAGTTTCCTTCATGTTGTAGAATGTATAGAATGCTGGATTCCTCTGTATTGCTGAGTGATACGCTATTGTGTGGATAGACTACGTTTCGTGTTTCCATCCATCAATTGAAGGACATTTGGGTTGTTTCTACTTTCTGACTATTACAAATAAAACACTGCAATGAACATTCATGCATAAGCTTTTATGTGAACATACTTTCGGTTATCTTGGGTATATATCTAGGAGCAGAAGTTCTGGGTCATATGGTAACTCTGTTTAGCATGTTGAGGAACTGCCACTCTGCTTTTCGAATCCACTGCATCATTTCACATTCCCATCAGCAATGTATGAAGATTCCAGTTTTCCTACGTCCTTATCAACACTTGTTTCTTTTCATTTCATTGGTTTTATTTATGTTTTATTTTTATTTTTATTTATTTATATATTTTTTTGAGATAGAGTCTCTCTCTGCCACCCAGGCTAGAGTGCAGTGGCGCGATCTCAGCTCACTGCAAGCTCCGCCTCCCGGGTTCACGCCATTCTCCTGCCTCAGCCTCCCGAGCAGCTGGGATTACAGGCGCCCGCCACTATGTCCCGGCTAGTTTTTTGTATTTTTAGTAGAGACGAGGTTTCACCATGTTAGCCGGGATGGTCTCGATCTCCTGACCTCGTGATCCGCCTGCCTCGGCCTCCCAAAGTGCTGGGATTACAGGTGTGAGCCACCGCGCCCGGCGTCGTGTTTTGTTTTAGATAGCCATCCTGAGGAGTGTGAGATGGTATCACCTTGTGGTTTTGATTTTTATTTCTCTACTGACTAATGATTTAGAGCCACAACCAATTGACATTTATCTTGTGACTCCTTTTGTCTTACGGAATGTTGATGTGACCATTTTTATGGAGGTTTCTCAAGGAACCTCTTCAGTGTGACCCCTCTTACTCACCTCATGTGCTTAGAATCTGGGAGCTGTGAGAGACCTTCGAGATCATCACAGTTCAGTAGGTACGTTTTTAAAGATCGAGGCAGCGAACCCCAGAGAGACTGCGAATCTTGCCTGAGGCCCTACAGCCAACCAGTGGCAAAGCTGGGACAAAAACCAGGGTCTCCCGACAATTAGCCTTGCAGGCTTCTGACACAATATGCTACCCTCACAGTGTGGAAAGGAGTTACTCAACCTCCCCACGCTTTCTGCCGTAGGAGGTACCAGCTACAGCGTATTGTGAACGTGGAGAAGCGTCAGGACCAGCTACGTGGCGGCCGCTACCTCTTGGAGCTTGAACTGTTGGAACAAGGCCAGCGCGTGGTGCGGATCTCGGAGTATGTGTCTGCGCGAGGCTGGCAGGGCATCAGCCCAGCTGGTGGGGAGGAGGCCGAGGCCCGGAACCTGCAAGGCCTGGTCTGGGACCCACACAGCCGTCGGAGACAGGTCCTGAATACCCGGGCCCAAGAACCCAAGCTGTGCTGGCCCCAGGGTTTCTCCTGGAATCACCGAGCCGTCGTCCACTTCGTTGTGCCTGGTGAGCCTCGCGCCGAGCCTCGGCATTCTCGGGGAAGGGGTCCTAGCACTGTCGGGAGCGCCCACGTCTGCTTTCGCTGAGTTCATCCCATAAGCATCATTCTGAGAAAGAGCAGCTTATGGTTGAGGAAACTGAGGCTCAGAACAGGAAAGTCACTAGTTTAAGGTTATGTGGCTAGGAAATGTTGGTGCTGAAAACAAACCCTGCCTCATAGGCCAGCGCTCGCTCTTTCACAGTGGCTTTCAGGGTTGGGGGTGATGACTGGGGTTGCTGGCACGGGGGATGATCGTTGGTCTGGGGAAGTAAGACAGGGAGGTACTTAATGAAGTGATTAGCAGGGTTTTATGTGAGAAGGAGGAACACACAACAGGCAGGGGTGTAACAATGGAGATAGCACGATGGGGATAGGACAGGTAACGGTTTCACTAGTAGAACATGGCAGGGCTCCTGACGACGAGCCTCAGCCAAGGCCGCCTCGTGGGCCCCCGTGCCTGGGAGGAGGGTGCGTGGGGAGCAGGATGCAGAGGCCCCCTTAACCGGTGAGCACTCCCTCTGCCTCGTGTCTCTGTGCTGCGTTGCTAACGGTTTTGCAGAGTTGCACTGTCCCCTCAGCCGAGGTCCGACGGGCCCTCCTGACTCACGTGGGAACTGGGAGTGGAGGCCTCAGCCGCTCATCTTTGCCTTGTCTGTGTTTCTCTCCTGCCTGACCCCCTGGGGTAGTGAAGAACCAGGCACGCTGGGTACAGCAATTCATCACAGACATGGAAAACCTGTTCCAGGTCACCGGCGACCCACACTTCAACGTCATCGTCACTGACTATAGCAGTGAGGACATGGATGTTGAGACGGCACTGAAGAGGTCCAAGCTGCGGAGGTGAGGGGGACGCCAGCCAGGGGGTGGCTGGGCCGCGTCTGTCCTAAAGTCCTAGGGCTGCTGGGTCCAGGGGAGAGCCAGGAGTCCTGCCCAGCCTTCCGCATTCCTAGTCTCCAGCTTTTCCCAGACGGCTCACCTGCCCAGAATCCCGTCTCGGGAGCACACATCATCTCTATTCTGTGCCTGCCAACTTCCTCCAGGGGACCACCGCTAAGTCCTGACACTCAGCCCTCTCCCCTTCCTGCAGCTACCAGTACGTGAAGCTGAGTGGAAACTTTGAACGCTCAGCTGGACTTCAGGCTGGCATAGACCTCGTGAAGGTAAAGGGCCCGGATGGGGCTTGCAAGATGGAATTAAAGGCTGGTTAAGAGGTAGAGAGACATTTGGGGTGTATGGGGTGGTGAGCCCCTCAGGGAGCACGGGAGTGAGGACACAGGAGGGCCTCTCTGCTGTGCTGCAGGCCAGTGCCGGGGTGGGACCAGCAGAGCACAGTGGAGCATTTGCCCAGTTGTCCAGGGTCCCTGGAGCCCGTACAGAGTGGGAGGAGTCAGAATTCGCTCTGATGGTTAAGAACTATGCTCCGATGTTCAGCACTGTGGATCTCTGCCCAGCAGTTGGTTTTGTGGGAGTTTGTGAATCACTTCAATAGGGAAGACTCCGAGGCTTCTCCTAGAGCTAGAGCGTGGCCTGACCTCCTAGCTCTGGTCTGCGGGGTCTGCTGACCCTGCCCACATCTGTCCCCAGGACCCGCACAGCATCATCTTCCTCTGTGACCTCCACATCCACTTCCCAGCTGGAGTCATCGATGCCATTCGGAAGCACTGCGTGGAGGGAAAGATGGCCTTTGCCCCCATGGTGATGAGGCTGCATTGTGGGGCCACCCCCCAGTGGCCTGAGGGTGAGCCCTGCTCAGACTGGGGAGGGAGGAAAGACTTGTCTGATCTTGGCTCTTAACTCCAGAGCTGGGAGCAGTCCTATCTATGAGCGTCAGCATCCTCCTCCCCTGCCCCACCCTGCCCTCCTGTGGCCTTCACTCCCCTGGAAAACTCACCAGACAGGGTCCCCTTGGGCTGAGCTGACAGCCACACAGCAGGTGCAGCAGTGCACACCTCCTGCCTCGTCTTCTCCTTCCTTCCTTCATCACACACGTACTAAGCACTGCTGTGTGCCAGATGCTGTGCCCTGTGAGGATCCAAAGATGGAAAGGTAGGCTGCCTGCCCGTGGAAAGGGAAATGGGCAGGTAAACGGACACACAGCTGTGTCTTCAGTGGCTGCCACTGTCCGATCCCTTTGTGGGACCGTCGTCAGCCCGTGGGCACAGCCTGGAATCACTGCTGAGCCCTGAACCTTAGTTAGGGGGCTTTTCTCCAAAACAGGCGAAGTACTTGTTCAGCTAAGACGGTTTTCAGCCTCCCTCACCCCCAGCCTCTGACTTTCAGAAGACGCTCTAGGCCTGGAAGCCCCCTTCCTTCCTCCTCCTGCCTCTGGCTCATCTCACCCGAAGCTCCTGTCTGTCCACAGGCTACTGGGAGGTGAATGGATTCGGGCTGCTTGGCATCTACAAGTCTGACCTGGACAGGATTGGGGGCATGAACACCAAGGAGTTCCGAGACCGCTGGGGCGGGGAAGACTGGGAGCTGCTGGACAGGTGACTGGGAGGAGGAGGGCATCCACGAGGCCTGGGAATTCCGTCCCTTCAGGTGCTCTAGGCAGGCAGCCAGGCCACAGCAGCCTGGCCGTGCCCCTCGGCTGCGGAGTCCCAGTGCGTGGTAAAGAGCAGTGAACTGGGAGGACGCCCTCAAATCGCTGGCCTCGCTGGGACTCAGTTTCTCTATTAGAGGGGTGTGATTCGCCCTCTGTCTGTGTCACAGGGTTGGTGTGAAAATTAACATGCCCGGTACACTGTGTAGCAGGTGTATGGAGTGTAGACGTAAACCGTCATGTTCTGACGTAAACAGGCAGGGCACTGTGGGAGAGACTGCGTCCTCCCCGGCCCGAGGGTGGTGCACCTCCCTCAGCTGCCAAGCGGGGCGCCCAGAGTTGTGGGAATGGATAAGCAGACCTGACAAAGGTCAGGAAAGACTTTGGGGCCAGCAGAAGAGACCGTGGAGACCACTAAAGGGCAAGAGGATATCCAGGAGGTGCCGAGTCATGAGACACCAAGGGACCTGGGGATTTGGAGCAGGAGGAAAGGGTCAATGAGATGAAAAGCCTCAGAGGAGAACAGAGTACAAGCTGCTGCCTTGGCAGGTGGACAAGGAGAGCAAGATTGGGCGGGGACACCAGGCCATGGGTAGTGAGGAGGCGGAGGCCATTCTGTGTGAGGTTCCTTTTTCAAGAAATGTGCTGCCAAGAGAAGGGGCAGAGAGAGGATGCCACCTTGAGATCTGAGCCTTTGGGGAGGGAGCAAAGGAGAAGGGAGGGTTCCCTTCAGAAGGCTCTAAGTGCTGGAACAGCGTCTACAGGAGGTGGACAGGGCAAGGTCAGGAGCACTGGGGGCAGAACCTTGACACGAAGGCGCTCACTTCTTCTCGAGAGGCAGGACAAAATGCATCCACCAGGTACCAGGTCCCTACACTTGGCAGGCCATCCACATCCGTTACCTTGTTTATTTCTCCCCAGACCTCAGTGACGTGTAGGCGTCATGATCTCCGTTTTCCAGATGACAAGACTGAGTCTTGAAGAGAAGCTGATAACTTGCCCCAAATCTCACTCACTAAAGTGTTCAAGGCTTGAAAACTAGGTCTATTGTTTTTTCCCGTTGAGGGAAGAAAGAAAAGGAGGGTGACAAACTAAGATAATTTGAGGTGAAGAGGGGGAAGTTAAAGGAACTTCGATAACTGGGATCTCATAAAAAGGGTCTTAGATCAAAGGAGCCCCCAAGGCGGCTGGAAGCCTTGATTTGGGAAGCCAGGCCCAGCAGTCACCTCCACCTTGATCTTTGTGCTGGGCTTCTGCTGCGATGCACGGCTCCTGTACAGCCCTGAACCTCCTGTCTGTTTGGAGGCTCAGGAATCCAGGTCGGCCACTCTCGGCCCTGCCAGAAGCGCAGGTCTCCCTGTGGGAGGAACACCCTGCAGGCCGTGCATGCAGAAGAGGCATGGGGAGGGCCTGGGCGATGTCCCGGTGCAGCCCTGCCTTCCTCCGTCTGCGACGTGTCCCCTGGAGGCGCCAGTTGTGGGGCACTCAGAGTGTGCCAGGAGCTGTGCTGAGCCCTCAGCATCCATCCTTCTCGTCTTCACCATCTCTGATGTGTATATAGTATGTCCACGGTAATGATAGAATTCTCTATCACACGTTATCCTCTCATTACACATATGTGATAATCATCCTCCTCCCGGAGATGAGCAGACAGGCTCTGAAAGAAGGCATGACTTACCCAGTCATGCAGCTGGATCCAAACCCAGGCCGCCTGGCTTCAAAGCCCACACCCTTCCACTGCACCTGCCTTCCCTGCCCCGTGGGGAGCGAGCAGAGGGTCTGTGGTAGAGGCGGGGGGGCCCCCCGGTGCCTCCTGTGCTTCTGTTGGCTCATCCGGCTCCTCCTCCTCCAGGATCCTCCAAGCGGGCCTGGAAGTGGAGCGTCTCTCCCTCAGGAATTTCTTCCATCACTTCCATTCCAAGCGAGGCATGTGGAGCCGCCGCCAGATGAAGATGCTGTAGCCGGAGGGTGTCTGCTGGGCCCAGCACTCCCTGCTCCTGGATGGGCAGCGGCTCCCCAGGGCCCTGCTGCTGTTCGGGGATAGGGAGTGGGGCGACGGCTGGTCCCCAAGAGGCCTCGAAGCTGACAGCCCACTCCACCTGGAGCTGTCCCCTCACAGAGGCAGGTTCCAGGGCTCCTGTCTCTGCTTCCCGGGCCTTCAGGAGGGAGGAATTTGAGAGAGAGGCCAGGAGGGGCCACCTGCTCAGTTGAGCATGAGGACAGCTGAGAAGGACCGGTCAGGAAGGAGAGATCTGGCTGAGCGACACCATCCTTACCCATGAAGGTGCACGCCCGTATCCACCAAGCGCTCCTCACGCCAAGCGCTGACCACCAGACACTCTTCTAGTGGACGTATTTTATTGGGGGGCGGGGATTTTTAAAACAGAAAACCAAAACTGCTGTCCAGAGCGGGGGTGAGGCTGCCACTGAGGGACTGTCCCCACATGCAGACCTCCCACCCACTCCTGTGTCCCTTGGGCATTGTCCCTGGCTGTGGGGCTGGTCCCACGTGGGGCAGTTCTCCGCTCCACCCTGGGCTCGTGCCTTCCAGCGACGCACATCTCCCGGTAGCCACCAAACAGCCGGCCACTGATTAGGGCATTAACCTTCTCCGGATGGCTCACTTCAGACCAGAAGCACAGAACGGGCTGTTTCTGGCGCTTGGGCATTGGGAGGTGGGGAGCTGGTGGGCCATGGGCTTGCGATTCCCTGGCACTGGACATTCAGGCCTGCAGAACAGGCAGGGTGACGAAGGCAGGGGAGAGATGCCCTTTCCCCTCCCGGCGTGCCTGTGGGTGAGGCCTCCAGAGAGGACATGGAGAAGAGGTAAAGAGGATGGGGACATAATCTGTCAATTTCCTTAGCCCAGAAGCGGGTGGGGGCTGGACAGAAAGGGATGAAAAGGGAAGGGGAAGCCATGAGCCTCCCAGTCCAGCTCCGCTGCAGACCTGCCCTTCTGCAGGGAGAGCCCTGCCCCGCCGGCCTTGCGTGGAAGAAGAGGAAAGGGTGTATGGGGGTGAAACCCTGGAGCAGGGACCAGGGCACAGGATGAGAAGGGCTCAGGATAAGAAGGGTGCAGGATGAGAGGTTTGGGGAGGTGAGGACACTGCCCTGAGAGATCCCCTGGAAGCAGGGAGAGGAGTGGGGGCAGGAGGAACTGAAGGGTGGGGCGGTTTCAGGGAAAATAGCCCTTGGCCTTTTTAGCCGATGCCACCCTTTCTGTCACCTGGTGACCTTGTACTTCTCTTGCACTAATAACCCCCGGTGCTTTTGTGGCTGGGGGTTTTCCTGTTGCTGCTGCTGCCTCCGCCACTGCTGTGAATTTGTCCATGGTGCATCGGACGCTGGATCTTGAACTCCAGAGTCTGTTTAGAGAGGTGAGCACAGGGCTTGGGGAGGGGTGGCGGGGCCCAGACCACCAGGCCACGGAGCCCCCGCTCCAGGCTGTGGCAGTTCAAACCACAGCACTGGAGCTGCAGGGTCTGCCCAGCGGGCTCTGCATTCCCCGAGAGCTCGAGTCTGGCAATGGGAGAATGGAGCCCGTGGAGAACCCTTTGGGGATCGAGGAGAATCCCTGCCTCCCTTTAAGGAATCATGAAGGACAAAGACTTTTGAGTTACAGGTTGTGGCTTAGGAAGGCCATACCTGCTCCCTGGGCTGTGGCGTTTTCTGTGCCCTGCTGAGGCCGACTGGCCGCTGGAGAAGGATCACGGGGCATAGGCTAGGGCTGCAGTTGGCCAGTGGGGCTGCCAGTTTCTTTCTGGGACCACTCTTGTCCTCGGGCATTGCACTGGAAGGCTGGAACCAGCCCACACTGCCCGCCTGCTTCACTTCCAACGGCCAGGAGCCAGCCCAGCCTACTACCCTGCCCTCCACCCCTGCACCCTGGGCCAGTGCCTTGCATTTGATGTTTGTTACCTCCACACCATCTGCCTTAAGAGGAAGGGCCGGGCAAGGCCCCTACTTCCTAGAGAAATGTCTTGGGTAGGGGAGGGTATGGGATGGTGGGAGGGGAAGCATTAAATACAGCAACTTCTTAGAAGAAAAATAAGTGCTTGTCTTTTCCTGTTGCTCTTCACGGATGTAAAGGATTGGGCTGAGGGGCCCAGGTGAGTGTGCCAAGGACCGTCCTACACCACCCTCCACCCTTACCACAAGTGTGGTGCCTGCCGTGTGGGGATGGCCTTCTCTGCACTGTGGTTTACTCAGGAAGAAGACAACATTGTTCCTGTCTGAGCAGCCCACCGTGTAACAGACTAGGCGTTTTCTGTTCGGCAGATTGATGGAGGCTGGTGGTTTTAGCTGAGAAAAGCTATGGCTGCCCTGGGTGGAGAAGGCTAGATATAAAGCCAGAATGGTTCAGGTGAGCAGTCGAGAGAAGCCAAGGAATGGCTGCTTCTAAACCGGCAGACCATCTAAAAATCATTTCTGTTTGAGCTGGCAGTGCTCTGCTAATGCTTTGCAGGTGCAGATCTACCTTCCTTATTACATTTGGCCCAGGCAAAGGTTAAAGTGAGTTTGCAGTCCTTAAACACGTGCCTAAGGGAAGCTGCGACTGAAAGCGAGAAGAGCTTACAGCAGGTTCATGGAGAAGATTGTGCACGTGTGCGTCCATCTGCAACGGACTCATCTGCAGCGGACGCGGCAGATGACAAGAAGCCCATCTGGGCCAGGAACACTGTGGCTCCGAGCAGAACCCACAGAGGAGGGAGTAATCTAAAAGCCTTCCCACCCTCCAGCCCTGGGGTTTACGCTCTTCAACCCTCTCCAAGGCACAGAGGGAGACCAGCCTGGATGCCTGAGCCTGCAGGACTAGACAAATACGTGGACTCAGAGTAGATTTGAAGAAACCTTTATAGATACAGATTCCATTTTACCGAAAGGGAAAACTGAGGCCTAGAGCAGAAGGAAGCAGCAGGGTAGAGTCAGAACCAGAGTCCTCAAGCTGGGCAGACTTGGCCTTTGACAGACATGCCTTAGGTCCAGGAGTTGCTACCAGGGAGGTATGGCTGGCAGTACCTGCATCTGAGCTCAGGACTCCAGACTAAGATGGAAATCCCTCAGACCAATAACAAAAAAATCACTTTTTAACTCAGGTGCTGTGGGTAGGGAGCAAGGGCAGCTATACCGTCCTTTCAGAAGCTCTCCTGGGCTGTGGAAAGTGCCCATGAGCCTGGCAGATCACGGAGGAAGGAGGTAGGAGTTCCAGGCCCAGTACCTGTTGGGGAAGCAGAGAAGAGGCAATGAGGAGGGCAGGCCAGATCGGTGCCCCTCAACCTTCAGCGTGCCCAGGGTGCACCTGGCCACCTTCCTCATGCACGTGCCTGCAGCCCGTCTGGAGCACAGCCTGAGATTCTGCCTTTCCAGCAAGCTTCTGAGTGGTCTGTGGATGCCGCTGGCCCAGGGACCACAGTCAGTAGCAAAGGCTGCTAGACAATGGCAGGGAGAAATTCCCCATCTCCACCTTTCCTTTGGCCGGAGGGGCAGAGTTAACCACTAATGGCATCGCCTCCACCCTGTCCCAGACCGTGGGAGACCCTGAGCCAAGAACCGAGAGCTGCCCGTTAACACAGCAATGGGGCTTTGTGCAGGCCTTGCCGAGGCCAGGCTCTTGCAGATCCCCTCCTTGCTCTGGGAGCTACAGGCCTTCCCCCTTTGTTTGGCAAGGGGATCTGTTTCTTGCCCGAAAGCCCCAGAGGGGAGAGAAGGGCCGCTTGGGGAGCCCCTGAAGCTGGGGTTCCCCCATCCTCCCTCACCTGGGTCCCAGGCTGTATTCAGAGAGGATTTCTTGAGGCCCTGGCAGTCAGGAAGCCTGTCTTGTGTGCCCCGAAGGCTGTAATGAAAACATTGATGACCACGGTGAAGAAGACCAAGACGGTCGCCACGTTGTTGAGCTGGTCGAGTCGCCACTGCTTTTCTACCTCATTCAGGTTCAGCCGTGCTGCAGGGAAGTGGAGTAGGGGGAAGGGTCAGAGATGGGGCCACAGCACGGAGCTGCCCCCACAACACCCACCAGAGTTTGGAGAGAGGGGCCCTTCAGAAACCCATGCGGCAGAAATCCAGGAAGGTGGTCGAAATCGGGCCAAAATGCCTCTGCCCTCGCCAACCAGCACATGGGGCACCCTCGTGTGCTTCATCCCACCAGGATTTGGGAACTTAAGCTGGGTCCTCTAAGCGTGGGATGAGTGCTCAAGGAAGAAGCGGGCGAGCGAGTGGGTGAGTGAGCAGTTAGCAAGGTGCTGGCACAGTCACTCAACAGGTGCTGTGGAGCGTCTGCTCCGTGGGATACAGGAGATAGGACAGGGCGCCTGCCCTTGTGGGGTGGCGTGGGATACAGGAGATAGGACAGGAAGTTGTTCTTTGGGCCTGTGTTAGCAGAGGGCGCACTGCAGGTCAGTGTGTGGTTGCAAAGCTGCATGCGCCCATGCAGGGTGGCCCAGGGAACACGGGGGGCCTTCCTGCCGGCCGCAGGTGCCAAGGCAGAAGATCTGACTGCGGGCTGGGCTCCTCACCGATGACCACGAGCAGGATGCCGATGGCCACCTGCAGGAGCAGAGAGAGGCTGAGGAGGGTGACCAGGGTGATGTAGTAGTGAGAGGACGGTCCCTGCTCCAGCACTGCCTTCAGCCGCATGGCGTTGGACATGAACAGGGCCACGTCCAGCATGCTCTCCGCCACGCTCTTCTTGGTGGCGTAATGGTTCAGGTTGATGGGCTGGCTCCTCCTGGGGTCGGAGCTTCCAGGCTGTAGGGGAGAGAGCACAGACTTACCAAGAGGGGCTCTGGAAGGGAAGAAGTTGACAGGTGGGAGACAGGAGAGAGGTTTTAAAGCTCTTTCCAAACCAGGTGGGAAGCTCAGGGCAAGTGACACCCTTCTCAGTTTCAGGGCCTGATAAAATTAAGGGTTGGACTAGAAAACCTGTAAGGACCTCTGCACTCGGGAATGATGTCCTGTTGCAGTTGATATTTCCTGGAGAGTCGCCCCTTCCCTCACACTTTCGCACACCTGGCTGGAGAAAGTGGAGACGGTTCTCTGCTGCTGGTGAAATGCACCTTCCTCATCCTATTCGCTATTTTACCTGGGCCAGGCCTCAGCTTTGGGCTGTTTCCTTTTCCTTTGAGAGGAAAGCACCTGAGAAGACAATAAAACGAGCTTGGTGGCTTTGGGTGAGATAGAGAAAGGCGCCTCCTCTCCGTAACGCCGTGGCCCCCAAGGCAGGGTGCACAGCTTGGCAGCTGGTCGTCAGCTGGATTTCCATCCCTCAGGAGCACTGGAGCTGCCGCCCTGCTCAGGCACACGCTGTCAGCATACACATGCATGCATGAGTGTGTACACACAGTAATGCATACTAGTTAAACACTCTTAATTCATTTTAATTATTACCTTTGGCTAGGATTTATTGAAGCATAATTTACATTCGATTTGATTTTGAAGTGTAAACTAAAGCTTCTCAAGAAGCCACTAACTCCAAAAGACAGAATCACAATGTAGGGCATAGGCTGTGGGCCTCTGGGTTCGGCCAAGAAATTCAGACTGGGCGCCATGGCCAAGGGCAATCTGCAGTCACTCAAGAGTACTTGGAAAATTGATTTAGCAGTGCTGCTTGGAACAGATTGGGCCAGGAAGGGCTAGAAGCAGGGAGAGTCATTTAAAAGTTACAGTCTTGATTTAGGATCAGAGTGAAAAGGAACTGAAGTGGAGCAAGGTGAGAAAGGAAGGAATGGAGGACTTTGAAAGATGCTACAGCCTGGAGGTAGGGAAGATGACCCAGCAGATCACCACGACAGGACAGATACCTGCTAAGTGAGGACAGATGAATGGATAGATGGATGCATGCCTTATATGCACAGTGATGCATACTAGTTAAACTCTCTTAATTTGTTTTTAATTTTTTTGGCTAGGATTTATTGAAGCATAATTTACATTTGATTTTGTTTTGAAGTATAAAGCTTCATGGATTAAGGGATGGATGGAGAGATTGGTGGGTGGATGGATGGATGGATACGTGGATGAGTGGATGGGCAGGTCTCAGAGGGTCTGGAATGTTCCTTGTACTTCATGCAACCCCAGTAAGTCGCTTCACTTCTCTGTACCTCAGGGAGTTACACAGAGGACAGTTGATTTACACATAGGCTAACTGATTTAGCCTATCTCTCAGAACCTTTGGATTCTATGAGGATACCCTGCAATGAGGCCAGGTGCGATGGCTCATGCCCGTAATTCCAGCACTTTGAGAGGCCAAGGCAGGTGGATGACTTGAGGTCAGGAATTTGAGACTAGCCTGGCCAACATGGCAAAATCCCGTCTCTACTAAAAATACAAAAAAATTAGCTGGGTGTAGTGGCACATGCCTGTAATCCCAGCTACTCAGGACGCTGAGGCAGGAGAATCACTTGAACCAGGAGGCGGAGGTTGCAGTGAGCAGAGATTGCACCGTTGCACTCCAGCCTGGGCGACAGCTTTGTCTCAAAACAAAAAACTCTGAAATGCAGTGGTCTCCAGACTTTCTTGATAGTGTCATCTCAGCATTAAAAACTGTTTTGGCCATGCATCCTCAATACATGTACATTCTTCCATTATCAATTATACATATTTTTATGGCACTAATATATATAGTAAAAAGTAGAAACATTTGAGAGGATTACATAACATTCAATATAAATAGAAGTTTAATTTTCTTATCCTACAATATGGTCTTGGGCACTCGTCTTTGGAGACCCAGCTCTAATCCACATGCCTGGCTACAGATTGGACCAGTCCTCTCCTAGTCCAACAGAAGGGGGCCTCTCTTCCCCAGTCCGTCTCCTAAAGTTTGCCTTCAAAGCTCAGCCTAATGTCTCCACCCTGCTCTTCTCGCTTCCTTTCCCAGCTCCTGGCCCTTTGCTCTGTTTGCCAGGAGGGTGTGCATGCACAGACACATTCAAGAGGCACAGGGTGGTCATGGGTGCTAACAGCATCTGCTCTGACGGAATCCCCCCTGGCAGCCTGTGCCCCGCAGGCTGCCCCTCTCTGACTCTGTGGACCAGTCACTGGAGGATCAAGCACACAGGAGTGGCTCTTTGACCACACTCCAGGCCACCAGCTTCCTACACGGGGCAGTTCCCTGCACCTGGGTTGTTCATTATCAAGATTCCAAGTGTCCTCAACTTCTGGTTGGGGCAGGACTTGCCGAGGGTAATCAGGAGTGTGCACTTTGGCCAGTGGAGCAATTTAAACACTTTCCCTGGGAGATCAGAACGGAGACCAGCGGGTAGCATTCATTCAATAGATTGAGTGTACATGCCAGGCGGTGCTTGGGGCTGTGAGGACCCCAATGCCGAACAAGGCATAGTTGCTGCCCCTCCCCGGGATCCTGGGTAAGCACTGGGCCACAGGCTGCTCGCAACAGGCCCTGGCAAGCTCCTTTTGACGGCCACCAAAATCAGGCTGGGGTCCGGGGCCCACAAAAATAAGGAAAACGTCCGTAGGCATGAAAGGAATGGAGTGCTCACTATCTCTCCCCTGTCTTCGTTTGTGTTGGATTTTGCCGGGGCCAGGGTTTCAGCTGGTGCTGGGGGCAGCCAGTGAGGTTGGAGGAGGTAGGGACAGAGGGTCAGTGAGGAGCTGTGTGGACTTGGGAGGCTACACACAGCATTCAGGGCCTTTGGAAATCCAGTTCAAGCAAGGCCAGCTTGTCTAGGGCCGGCTGGCCTGGTTGGTTAGGGCCAGGGATCCCAGGGACAACACTCCACAAAGGCCCACGGTCTCTGTCAGCACCAAGGCTGCAACCTGTGGCCATAGCCCGTTTGGTGAAGATTTGTCCTCGGTCCCCAAGAGCACTCATTAGGCAAGAGAGTCTCACCCCCTGCCCCCAAATTCAAAGTGCCTCTGCCCAGGCTCAGCTGTGCCCCCTGGCCTCCCTGCCCCATGCCTGTGCCACCCCTCCTCTCTCTTCCCCATCCTCCAGTTTGTCCCGTAGCAGCAAGCTTTGCCCTTTCTCCTCGTTCCTGGTCTAGCTTAGAGGAAGACAGAGCCCCTTCCCCCCAAATTTGTTTGTTAACAGTGAACAAAACCTTAAACCCAGACCTCCAGTGGGACGTGTTGAGCATTGACCAGTTAGTGGGGGAAGAGGCGGCAGTGGGTGGAAGGGGTGGGCACTTGGGCCACACAGGTCTTCCCAAACCTCTATGGAAAGTATTGCTATTTGTAAGTTTTAACAGAGCGGGTTGGCTTTTGTTGTTAAATTCATCTAAAAGCCATTGTTTCGCAGAGAATGTGAGGCTCGCAGTGTGTTCAGGGGGTGCGCCTCCCCCTTTCCTCTCTCTCAGGCCGACTCCGGACCGCCTTGAACTGCGGGTGCTGGGCGGGGTCTCGGCCCCGCGGGCGCCAGTTCCCCGAGTGTCCACACGGTGGCGCGCAGGGTCCGGGGAAGCGGCGGGACCGCGGCCGCCGGACGGTGTCTCCGCCCCGGGAAGCCACGCGCAGGACGGGGTTGGTGTGAACCCGGGACCCCTCCGAGGCCCGGGACAGGAGCCTCGCCCGCGAGTCCGGATGGGCCGACCTGAAACCCTCCAAACACGCGTGTCAAGCCAGAGCTCAAGAATCAGCCAGAGCTGAAGTGGAGCCACGTGGGGTGGGAGACGAGAAGGGCGGGGCGTCCGGCGCCACCTGCAGCCCGGGGCCGGCGCGTGGAAGGGCGGGCAGAGGCCCTGGAGCTGGGGGCCTGGAGAGGGGCCCTTTCATTGCAACGTCTGTAAAAGCAGGGAACGGGTTTCTCCATCCTTGCGGGCCAGTTTAGGTGCAGCCCTGCTCAGAGGCAGGGGGATGGATGAAATGACCCGAGGGCCCTCCCTTATAGTGGGAGGAGTGGACCAGATAAAGCCCTAAACCCTGCAGGGGGCCAACCTTTCGCCCACAGCCAGGGACTGGGAGCAACTCCACAGGGACCAGGGTGACCGAGGCGTGGGGAGCGCAGCAGGGTGGCCCCCGCTCCTGCACGGAGGAGCTGGCCCTTTAAGGCCAGGCCCAGGCGGGTCGGGAACAGCGACCCGGGAATGCGGGCTGGACTGAGGAGCAGAGCCACCCGCATGAGTCATTCGTGTTTCACCGGACTCTTCACAGCTGGCTCTCGCTTGCCGCCCTCCCCTTGCCCTGGCCCTGGCCTCTGCGCCCTCCCTGCAGAGCTGGCCCGCGTGGGCTGGCGGCCTCCACCCGCCACAAGCACACAGGGCTCTGCCCACTCCCGGCTCCTTTGGTGTTGATCCTCGGGGAGCAGGGGCCGGTGGGCTAGGATTCCGGGCCCAACTCTGCCTCTGGGCTTGGCGCTTTGGTGGTCGGTTTCCACATCTATAAAACTGGAGGAAAATCCTGTCTCTGGAGGGCAGAGGCCACGGACAGACAGAGCCACACTTTGCTCCTCCACAGAAGGAAGGACAGAATCCAGGCGGTTCCCATTTTCCCAGCCTGAGATCCCTCTCTCAATGAGGCTGGCTCTGGTCTCATTCTGCCCCACCCTGCTCACCCCTCCCCTGCCACTCAAGGGAAGCAGGACACTGACCCAAGACTCATTGCTTTGGGCTCCCAGAGTCCCTGTTCAAGGCGCGGTTGCCTGTGGGAAAGGCTGCCCATCAAAATCTGCCCAACCGATGACACCCGGACGCGGAATTTGGGGCGGCATGAAGCTGGAGCCCGGCGAGTGCAGGGAAGGTGGGAGTAGATCCAGAGTTTGATCTGGACGCCTCTGGGCCTCTGGGCAACAAGAGGAC